GGTGATATGTCCTGATTAAGTTACTTAATTTTAAGTGCATTTTTATATTTTCTTATTCATTAGAATTATTCCTTTTTATCTGCATTATCCATTGAACTCCATTATCTTTGCATGTATTTATGGTCTTTTTATGCACACAGAGCTTGCAAGAGTATTCAGATTTGCTTTGGTGATGAAGTGAGGTGTATTTGAAGATTTGAAAGAATACCTGTTGTTCAGGGAGATACAGATGTCTCCAGAGGATGGCTGTAAATATTGTCTTGACTGGAGCATAATGACAGGGACAGGCAAAGAGGTCAATTCAGGCAGCAGGCGGAGACATAGTTCATGAACAGACAAATAGTCAGTCTAAGCTGCAAGCAGAGATATGGTCAGTAAAAAGACAAGTGGTTAGTTCAGTAAGCAGGCTTGGTTAGTAAATAGGCAAAAGGTTGTTCCAGGCAGCAGACAGATACATTGTCAGTAAGCTGGCAAAGGGTCAGCCCAAGAAGCAGACAACAATGTGGTCCAAATGCAGTCAAATGTCAGTACACACATGTGCCAGGTGCATGCAAGAAGGAACAGGCAGAAGGTGTTGTCTGGCACAAGGATGCCAAGTGTCAGAGCAGCAACAATACTGCCAAGATACAGGACACTGAGCAGTGTAACCACTCAAGTGAGAAAAAGTGTATTGGGAGATGGACCAAGCAGTGTATGATGCAGGATTGCTGAGAATACAGGAGCTGCAGGTAGTAGTAATTGTTGAATAACAAAGTGTTGCTACAATTCATATCTCTACATTTAAAGCAGATGTAAACCCACTGATTTTACTCCCTCCCAAAAGAAAACTCAAGTTTGGATTATTCAATAAATGCTATTAAAGTTCATTAGTTTTGTTTGGGCCAAGTTTGCCCAATCAAATTATTTACTGCACTAAAAGTTGTGCTTGCTGTGGGCACTGTATTAATTGTATGTAGCTTGCCTCTGAATTCCTGCCTGCCTGTTGTGACCTTTGATGACTCCACTCATGTCCTACTTTCCTGTACATACATACATACAGTTGTGCTCAAAAGTTTGCATACCCTGGCAGAAATTGTGAAATTTTGGCATTGGTATTGAAAATATGACTGATCATGCTTTTATTGAAAGATGATGATCATATAAAGCCATTTATTATCAAATAGTTGTTTGGCTCCTTTTTAAATCATAATGATAACAGAAATCACCCAAATGGCCATGATCAAAAGTTTACATACCCTGGAATGTTTGGCCTTGATACAGACACACAAGGTGACACACACGGGTTAAAATGCCAATTAGAGGTTAGTGTCCCACATCTGTGGCTTTTTAAATTGCAATTAGTGTCAGTGTATAAATAGTCAATGAGTTTGTTAGCTCTTACATGGAAGCACTGACTGGGCTAGATACTGAGCCATGGGGATCAGAAAAGAACTGTCAAAAGTCCTGCGTAACAAAGTAATGGAACTTTATAAAGATGGAAAAGGACATAAAAAGATGTCTAAAGCCTTGAATATGCCCAATCAGTATTGTTAAATCACTTATGAAGAAGTGGAAAGTTTGGGGATCTCTTGATACCAAACCAAGTACAGGTAGACCAAGAAAGATTGCAGCCACAACTGACACAAGAATTGTTCGGGATACAACGGGAAACCCATTAGGTAACCACAAGAAAAGTACAGGCTGCTCTGGAAAAAGATGGTGTGGTTGTTTTTTTAAGGAGTACAATATGGTGATACTTGAACAAAAATGAGCTGTTTGGTCGAGGTGCCAGAAAGAAGCTTATACTGCACCAATGCCACAAAAAAGCCTGGTTACAATATGCCTGACAACACCTTGACATGCCTAACCGGGCCTTCTTGTGTCATTGATGCAGTAAAGGCTTCTTTCTGGCACTTCAACCATGCAGCTCATTTTTGTTCAAGTGTCATCATATTCTTTAAAAACAACCACACTGTCTCTGGAGAGCAGCCTGTATTTTTCTTATGGTTACCTTATGGGTTTCCCTTTTGTATCCTGAACAATTCTTTTGTCAGTTGTGGCTGCAATCTTCCTTGGTCTACCTGTACTTGGCTTGGTATCAAGAGATCCCCCCGCACTTTCCACTTCTTAATAGGTGATTTAACAGTACTCATTGGCATATTCAATACTTTGGACATCTTTTTTATGTCCTTTTCCATCTTTATAAAGTTCCATTACCTTGTTATGCATGACATTTGACAGTTCTTTTCTGATCCCCGTTGCTCAGTATCTAGCCTAGTCAGTGCTTCCATGTAAGAGCTAACAATCTCATTGACTATTTATACACTGACACTAATTGCAATTTTTAAAAGCCACAGATGTGGGACATTAACCTCTAATTGGCTTTTTAACCCGTGTGTGTCACCTTGTGTGTCTGTACCAAGGCCAAACATTCCAGGGTATGTAAACTTTTGATCATGGCTATTTGAGTGATTTTTGTTATCATTATGATTTAAAAAGGAGCCAAACAACTATTTGATAATAAATGGCTTCGTATGATCATCATTCTTCAATAAAAGAGCATTTTTTAGCATGATCAGTCATATTTTCAATATCAATGCCAAAATTTCAAAATATCTGCCAGGATATGCAAATTTTGAGCACAACTGTATATACATACTATATGTTGAAATGCATTTTTATTACAAAATATATGAAAAATATTTATAAAAATACAGTATTTTCTGGCGTATAAGACTACTTTTTATACTTAAAAATATACCCCAAAAATTGGGGGTCGTCGTCTTATACGCTGGGTATAAAATGTGAACCTTGAGTTTGTTTGGGTCAAGCTGGCTGGATGTGTGGTAATACTGTACATACAGTATACTGTGCTGAGCCAAGCTGGCTCAAAACAAATGTCCCTATGACAGATTAATCTGTCAGCCCACTGGATGTGCGGTATATACAGTATACTGCGCTGAGCCAAGCGGTTTCAAAACGTACCGGTACGTCCCTACTGTAATCAGCCCACTGGATGTGTGTATGTACGGTAGCTGCGGATACATACAGTATACACTGGGCCAATCATGGCGAGTGATGTATTCTACTAATAAATACAAAGCCTGCTTGGATTGGCTGAGTCAGAGAGGTGGGCTGATGATGTCACAACCTCAGCCAATCCGAGCAGGCTTTGTATTCATTAGTAGAATACATCGCTCGCTGTGATTGGCCCAGTGTATCCTGTATGTAGCCGCAGCTACCGTACATACACGCATCCAGCGGTCTGATTACAGTAGGGAAGTACTGGTACATTTTGAAACAGCTTGGCTCAGTATACTGTATATACCACACATCTAACGGGCTGACAGATTAATCTGTCATAGGGACATTTGTTTTGAGCCAGCTTGGCTCAGTATACTGTATGTACATTACTGCACATCCAGCGGGCTGTATATATACTGTATACTCTATGTAGCCGAAGCTACCGAATTACCGCACATAAAGCGGTAACCATCTGATTTGGAATTTGATCCATATGATGACTGTCTTACAAATGTATCACAAGATGTCATTCATGAATTTATGATGTTAAAGGAATGATGAACATGAGGATTTTGAAGGAGTTTAGGTACTGGTAAGTCATAACCATTTCAATTAAAAAATCAGATGTTTTAAATGGTGTTGCCTTGGAAGGGGGGTAGTCTTATATGACGAATATAGCCCAAAACCTATGTCTTAACTGGAAAATTAGGGGGGTCGTCTTATACACCCAGTCGCCTTATGCCGAAAAATACGGTACATTTCAAATATATGTTAAAATGACTTTTTTATATGTTAAAAAAATCTAAAGAATATATTAAAAAATAATATATTTTTAAAAATAATTTTTTTTTCAAATATATTCTTCCGATTTTTTTTTAACATATAAAAAGTCATTTTAACAAATATTTTTACATATATTTGTAAATGCATTCCAAAAAATGTAGATTTGTATTTTTAAAGACATACAGTATATTTGAAATTTATTTTTTTATATTTTTTATATATTTTGTAACAAAAACACATTTCAACATACAGTGTATATGTATGTGTGTGTGTGTATAGATATATATATATATCTATATATATATAGATATAGATATATATATATATATATATATATACACATATATTTATTGAAATATATTTTGAAATATATTGAATATGGCCAAAATTGTAGCATTTCAAATATATGTCAATATATCTGGGAAGAATTTTTTAAAATATATTTCAAATATATTTTTCTTCCATGTTGGTACCTATCTCAGCTTGTATCCTGATTCTGCCTCTGCCTGATGTTCCTGTACCTTGCTGCCCGGCTGTTGATGACCTTTTGGCTTGTGTCTTAGCTATACTCCTGTCTACCAAACAAGTGTCACTTTGTTTCATTTCCTGTTTTAGTGATCCACAGTCATCTGCATACTGCAATCACTAGCTGGCGCTTCCCACTACATGGGCGCTCATGCCACTCTATGTCCTCACACCTCCTGTCAGAGGTTTAGAGGTGCAAGAGAAGTTCCCTTTCCTGCTCTGTCTCCACTAGGTACATGACAATTGGTGGTTTATTTACTAAAGCTGGAGAGTCCAAAATCAGACTCCCTTCTGCATAGAAATCAATCAGCTTCTAACCTCAGCTTGTTTAATGAAGCTTTGGCAATGAAACCTGGAAGCTGATTAGTTTCTATGCAGAAGTGAGTCTGATTTTGGACTCTCCAGCTTTAGTAAATAAACCCCTTGGTGTCATAGCTGATCACATGTGCAAAACCATGGCAACTACTGATCTATGTTAGGGGTTAACCACCTTCCTCCCGCCATTATAGTAATATGACGGACGCAAGGTGGTGCTCACGTATATGATCTCCTCCCATTCTGACCGCGTATGCGTGGCTCAGGGAACGCGCGGCGATCGGCGGTGCGCTGTGTCCCTCGGACACAGCGGATAACCGATCACGAAAAGGAAAAGAGCCAAAGGTGTCGGCTCGGTCATGTGATCAGCTGTGTCCAATCACAGCTGATCACATGTAACAGGGAAATGCCGGTTATCGGCATTTCTCTCCTCTCGAGTTGTCACGCTGACAGCTCAGGAGGAGAGGAGAGCCGGTAATCGGCTTTCCGCGGAGGGGACATGTACACTGATCATCAGGGCACTGATGATCAGTGTGCCCTGATGATCAGTGTAACCCCAGAAGTGCCACCTGTCAGTGTCCATTGTGTCAGTGCTCATCAGTGCCTCGTGCCAGTGCCACATCAATGCCACATATCAGTGCCTACCAGTGCACATCAATGCCACTTATCAGTGCTACCAGTGCACATCAATGCCACATATCAGTGCCCATCTGAGCTGCCTTTCAGTGTCACCCATCAGTGCCAGTCAGTGCCACCTATCAGTGCCGCCTATCAGTGCGCATCAGTGCCGCCTATCAGTGGGCATCAGTGCCGCCTTATCAGTGCGCATCAGTGCCACCTATCAGTGCCAGTCAGTGCTGCCTATCAGTGCCAGTCAGTGCCGCCTATCAGTGCTGCCTATCAGTCCCATATATCAGTGCCATGTATCAGTGCTGCCTTTCAGTGCCCATCAGTGATGCCTGTCAATGCCCATCAGTGCCACCTACCAGTGCCTCCTCATCAGTGCCCATCAGTGCCACCTATCAGTGTCAGTCAGTGGAGCCTATTCGTGCAGCCTCATTAGTGCATATCAGTGAAGGAGAAAAATCACTTATTTACAAAATGTTATAACAAAAACTAAGAAAAAAACTTTTTTTTTTCAAAATTTCCAGTGGTTTTTGGTTTGTTTAAGAAAAAATAAAAAAACCCAGAGTTGATTAAATACCACCAAAATAAAGCTCTATCCCTCACAAAAAAATAACAAAAATTTCATTTGGGTACAGTGTTGCATGACCGCGCAATTGTCATTCAAAGTGCAACAGCGCTGCAAGCTGGAAATTGGCCTTGGCAGGAAGGGGGTATAAGTGCCCTGCAGGCTAGTGGTTAAGATGATGCCAACATTGTCTGAAAAAGGATAAGAGACTTTAGTTGCACTTTAAGCTATACAATAACTTTGCAACAAAATTAATTACAAAACAAGAATGTACAAAATAAATCTCCCACTTTGTTGGGGTCTTCAGAAACAACCTTGACACTGTTTCTCTGTAAGCTGCTCATAAATGCCATCATTAGTGATAGTTTGCAAAATGTACATGTAGTTTTATGTTTTGCTTAACTATTTAACCCCTTCAATTCATTTTACATTTTGTAGTGTTACAACCAGGACTTAAATTGTAATCATGTATGAATTTTATTTAATTATTCTGCACAAAATAATTCTTTTTATTTTTTAATAATTATCAGAGTGGGAAAAAATTATATTCTATTATCATTAAGTAAGGTCTATTACAACAATATTTTCATAACTCATATAATATTTAAACAATATATATATACTCATATATATTTAAACAATCAACACCTCTATCATTAATTTAATTATCAAAATAGATAAAGTTCTGGAGAAATAAATATCCCAAACTTTAAATATTTCTTAGATAAGCAAATCTGTTATTAAAAACCCAGGATTTGTATATGAGTGGGGGTTTACCAAATGGCATATGGGAGGCAGAATAAATATGCAAGTAAAGGTTCACTTGTTAAGCCAAAATTTAACTTTTTGTCTTGCTGTAGTATGAAATGCTTAGTGTGGAAAAAAGCAAACACTCCTAATCACCCTAAGAACACCCACGGCATATTGAACCATTGATTCACATTGAAGTGGTGGTTGCATCATTTTTCCTTCAGTGGCAAGGCCTAGGAAACTGCTCAGGATTAAAACAAAATGTATAGCTATAAATAAAGGAAAATCTTTAAAGGAAATAAAGAGAACAATTTGTTTCTGGGGCACCTTCCAATAGGAAGATAGCTCCAAACACAAAGCCAAGCTACACTGAAGAGATTTAAAATTAAGAACCCAAATATGTTAGAATAGTGTTGTCAAAGACCAAACATTAATCCAAATAAGAATCTGTTGCAAGACTTGAAAATTATTGCTCATTTTCCAACCTGATAAAAGATGAACAATTTCTACAGAAAATGCAAGATTCAGATGTACAAAGTTGGTACAGACTTACCCCAAAACTATATCTACCTAATCAATTAGAAATGATAGCATGTTCCCTTAGGATCTCTGCACAGTGATTTTTCTTCCTAATGCAAATCACAGAAAATCTCTGATTATATAGGATGGCCCAAAGGATGGGGCTCACTGAAGATAATGCCGGGTCTCCTCTTAGGAGTGAATGTTTATGAATCTGTATAAAGTACCATGCTACACACACTCCCAAATACATAATTGTCAGCACTCTCAGAAGAGTACACCTGCATAAATCAATCACAGTGCATTCTATCTGGTGAAACAACCACAGCCACTGAGCACAGCAACAGAAATCATATTTTCTATATCCATAATTACAGTTAATTGGGAAGTAACTGCACTGCAGGCATATATCTGTTTGAATATGGAGAAGAAGGAACAATTGTGATGATTAATGTGGCTGTACAACAACTGACTGAACTAATAATTCTAGCAATAATGAGCTCTATGTGTTTTCGTTACCAAAAAATCAATGGGTTTCCAAGAGCAGTAGAATGTCCCTTTAAGTAAAGTGGACACTATGCTTACCCATACCATCTAAAAAATGAGGGGTTTTATAATATAAGGACCATAGCCACTTTGGAGTAAAACTTGCATTGTTCTATTCTTTAGATATTATTTAGTATATAAACTTCATATGCAGTAAGCTTTAACATGTTTAAAATATTCTAAATCCTTTTGGTTCCCTATAATCATAGGGAGCAAATTTATATTAAGGTGAGCCTAACAATGAGCCAGGATCCTTTCAATTACATACCTACACCAGCTGCTTCTAAATACAGTAGATCCCTTTGCAGCTGCCTGTACACATATATGTGGCCTCACTGAAGTGGGTCTACTTCCCTGAGGTCGCATATATGCATACATGTGTTTGTGCTACTAATGATCAGGAACTAGGAGGCCTGGTTCCCAATCTCCTGATCGCTGTGATAGCCTTTGATTGGCTATTACAGTGATTAGTCACTGTAAAGCCCACCCTGTGTTTTTTTTCTCCTCTGAATGGAAAGAAAGATACATTGTATATTTTTCTCCCTGCCAGAGTAGAAAAATGTCTCAAACGTGTGTTTAAAAAGGGTCAATGTTAGAATCAAAGTTCAAGGTGAAAGGTCAGGGTGAAGGATCCATGGATTTTAGCTAGAATTAAAAAAAAAGTATCCTTGTAAGTCAATGTCATTGTCATTGTGTTTTAGGTAACATAAAAAAGCAAAATGCACACTATTATTTTTGGGCCCTACTATGGGTACAAACAACAAAGTATATATACACATATGTGGTATTGTTGCAATTGTCAGGAGCAGGAGAATTTATTTTGGATTGCTCTTTGGCAGTAGATCATGACAATAGCAAGACATATACAGCTTAATAAAACAAAAATACTATTTTGGGCCAGTTTTCCTTTGATACTAAAAACATAATCAGGAGATATTCATTACCACCTACCACCAAAAGAAAGCCCATTTTTCCTTAAAAACAAGGTATAATCCAGACGGATATATCAGGTAGTTGCAATGATATGTACAGTTTTACTAACACATGTCGAAGTTGCAAAATTGTGTTCAGGTGTTAGGATATGTTTTACTTTCATCATGAAGGGGATATACAAGTATATGCAAGTATATGTATATGCAATCTGAAATAAACAAGGAGCATAGAGAGAGCATGGAGGCAAATCAGACAGAATCTGATGTGCGAATGTTTATAGGAGTACATGGGTATAGAGGAGAAGATGGTAATAGGGCACAGCAAGGAGAGATAGACTTCACAGTGGCAATAGGGCACAGCAAGAGGGAATAGTCCACAGGGTAGCAATATGGCACAGCAAAGAGAAATGGTCCACAGGGTAGCAATATGGCATAGCTAAAATAAATAATCCAGAAAGTAGCAATATGGCACAGCAAGAAGAAATATTCCACATGGCAGCAATATAGCACAGCAAAGGGATCTAGTCCACAGGGTGGCAATAAAGCACAGTGAGGGGATCAAGCAATGTGGCACAGCAAAGAGAAATAAGGGGAACAAAGATTCAAATACTCACACTGTGGAAGTCTGACTCTCCTGGGTAAGGGGCGGGGTGGTCTTGGTGTTGGGGGATCTAGGCAGTGCAGTCCATGGAGGACTCTGGGCACACAGCAGAGAGGGAAGGCAGGGCACTCCATGAAGGACTCTGTTAATACAGCAGAGAGGGCAGGCAGGACAATCTGTGGGGAACTCTGGGGACACAGCAGAGAGGGCAGGCAAGGCAATCCATGGGGGACTCTAGGCATACAGTCTTGACTCCCCACAGGTTCTGGCAGCAAGTGGCTACCACAGAAAGGGGTCAACAATGTGGAGGAAAAGGGGGGGTTCCACTGTCTGGAAAGCAGCACAATCAATTCGGAATTACAAGACCCAGTAGTCCCAGTGTCCAGAACGTAGCACACTGTCCATAATAAACTATCAATCTGAGCAGTTCTAAGCACCTTCTAGTCTTCTAATGAGACCTGGAGCCATGAGTTTCCCTATGTCCATCACGGATGTAAACTCAGAAATGTCTGACACATTGGTATGCATGGTACCTCTCTTCTCAGATTCAGCCAAACCCCCCAAAACTGTCAGTGCCAAGGTGTCTGACATTATCCTATGTGCCTATGTGCTACCTGGTGAGAGGAGCCTTATTTCCTACCACCTGTGGGAAAAGGAACTTAAAGATCAATAATGCAGATATTTTTTTTTACCCAAGGCCTTTGGATTAGAAATTGTTGCTTTCACGAAAAAATCTATTTCTGACTTATGATACACAAGCACTAAACCTTCATATAAGCTTGAACATGTTAAAAAAAATGACAAAATCATTATAGTTTCCCTTTAAACATAAAAAGCAAGTTGATATTAGGGTGAGCCTATTAATGAATCACAATGGTATCAATTTAATCCCTTCTCCAGTTGCTTCTATGTACAAGCTCTTATTTAAACCTACATATTAAATTGACCATTGAAGAATACATTGCATCAAATGAAACATGTTGAGATTATCCAAGATTCTGAGCTGTCCTTCTAAAGGCACTAAATGTTTGCGCAGGTGAATATTAGATTGTAAGCTCCAAAGAGCAGGGCCCTTGAATCCCTCGTGTTTTGTTTTGTTTTGTTACTGTATTGTCTCATGTTCTGTCCGCCACTATAATGTACAGCGCTGAGCAAACCTTTTAGCGCTATATAAATACTGTATAATAATATGTCAATGCAAATATTTCACTGTAAACATCTGTC